CCAGCCTGAATAAGAGTGAGACTCTGTCTTTATTAAAAATAGAAAAACTAGCCAGGCTTTGTAGCAGGTACCTGTAGTCCCAGCTACTCAGAAGGGTGGAACAAGAAGAATCGCTTGAGCCCAAGAATTGGAGGTTGCTGTGAGCTATGACGCTGCTGCACTCTCTCCACGGGGACAGAATGAGACTCTATAAAAAAAAAAAAAAAAAAAAAAACTGAAACAAATGTGGCAAATAAAAATTGACAAAACTAGTTGCTACATTAAGAATGTACATATTTTCTATATTCTTTTGTATACTTGAAACAGCTGAAGTTAAGTATTTGTCATAAGAAGACAAATGTTCAGGCCAGGCACTGGTAACTCATATCTGTAATCCTGGCCCTATGGGAGGCTGAAGCAGTGGACTGCTTAAGCTCACAAATTCAAGACTAACCTGAACAAGAATGAGACCCCGTCTGTATTGAAAATAAAAAAGTTGCTGCATATAGTGGCAGGCACCTGTAGTCCCAGCCATTCAGAAGGCTAGAACAAGAGGATTGCTTGAGCCCAATAGTTTGAGGTTGCTGTGAGCTATAATGCCACAGCACTCTACCCAGAATGACAGAATGAGACTGCCTCCAAAAAAAAAAAGGCAGATTAAAAAAAACAAGAACAGTGGCCAAGCGAGGTGTGTCATGAGTGTAATCCTAGTACTCTGGGAGGCTGAGGTGGAAGGAACGCTTGAGTTCAGGAGTTCAAGAGCAAGATCCCATTTCTACTAAAAACAGAAAAAAAAGGACTGGGCACAGTGGTTCACACCTATAACCCCAGCACCCTGGGAGACCAAGGCAGGCGGATCGTCTGAGCTCACGAATTTGAGACCAGCCTGAGCTAGAGCAAAAATAGCTATCTCTAAAAATAGCCTATAGTCCCTCCTACTGGGGAGGCTGAGGCAAGAGAATCCCTTGAGCCCAAGAGTCTGAGGTTGCTGTGAACTATGATGCCATAGCACTCTACCAAGGGCAACAAAGTGAGACTATCTCAAAAAAATAAAAAATAAATAAAAATAGAAAAAAAATACCCAGGCATTGCAGCTTGCACCTGTAGTCCCAGCTACTTGGGAGGCTAAGTCAAGAGGATCACTTGAACGCAGGAGTTTGAGATTGCTGTGCGCTAGGCTAACACCATGGCACTCTAGCCTGAGACAACAGAATGAGACTCTGTCTCTAAAAACATAAAAACAAAAAAAGAACATTTTATGTTTGTTGTTTAGAGGTCCTAAAAAATAATCTATTATGCATCAAGCTACAGGTAATATTTGCCTAGATATTATCACATCTCTAAGCTGAAAAGATTAGATTCACTAAGATTTCACTAAGAGATTGATAAAGGCCATTAATTTAAAAAGAAAAACCTGGGGCTCAGCGCCTATAGCTCAACCGGCTAAGGCGCCAGCCAC